TCCTCCTCCTCCTCCTCCTCCTCCTCCTCCTCTTCTTCTTCTTTCTCCTCCTCCTCCTCTTCGTCCTCCTCCTCTTCGTCCTCCTCCTCCCCCTCCGAATCCGCGGGGAGGGGGGAGGCTTCTTAGAAGTCCCCCTTCTGTAAGAAGCCTTCCCCCCTCCCTCCACCCCCTTTTGTGCGCGCTGCCAACCTGCGGGGCAGGTGGCCCGTGCTTCTCTCTATTCTTTGTAGACGTACACATTGGCCTGTGCGCTTTTTCCGCTAGTCGATCCGCCCTGCTCCGGCGGCTTGTGCATTGCGGCTCATTGGTTCCCTTCGCCTCCGTCGTCTCCTCCCCTCCTTTTCACGATCTTCCCGTTGAAGTGACCAGCTCGAAGGATGCACATTTGTTGCATCGTGGCCGTGTCAATCATGAGACAACCATTATCCTCCTTCCCCTCTGCCCTCGTTCCTCCTCTGGTGGCTTGCGAGGCTCGTGTTGAAGAGCAAGAAATGGCAGACACCAGAAACATCGTCTCTCGAAGATTCGCGCGGCTTTCTTTAATCGGTGCTAGACCAATTTGGCTGCACCTCCAGCGTCGCCCTTGCCGCGGACCTTAGACAGTTCATTCCCAACCATCCTGTGGTGTTGGGTCCTCGTTTTGAAGAGACGGTCCCCGCGTCCTTCCTCCCTCCTTCCTCCCCCTCCTCCTCCTCTGCTTTTTCCTCCTCCTCCTCCTCCTCCTCCTCCTCCTTCTCCTCCTCCTGCCTCCTCCCCCTCCTCCCTGCGTTTCACCCACCCAGTACAGTGTACCGTGGCCCCATAAGGAGCCCCACCGAAGGCCCCAGTGGCAGGGTTCGCATGGCGGCCCCGTCTCATTCCGGCGCACCCCTCACACGGTCCGTGGCCCCATAGGGAGCTTCACCGAAGGCCCCAGTGGCAGGGTTCGCGTGGCGGCCCCGCGCCATTTTGGTGCATCCCTCGCACGGTTCGTGGCCCCATAGGGGGTTCCACCGAAGGCCCCAGTGGCAGGGTTCGCATGGCGGCCCCGCGCCGTTTTTGGCGCACCACTAACACGGTTCATGGCCCCATTGGGAATTCCCTTTGCTTCGTCCCACCTGCCCTGCGGTTCTCACGCTTGCGTATGGCTGGGTCTTTCGCCGGGATAATGTTTATTCCCAACCATCCTGTGGTGTTGGGTCCTCGTTTTGAAGAGACAGCGCCCCGCGTCTCACCTCCCGCTGCCCTCCTCTCTTCTCCCATCACCGTCATCATCATCATCATCATCATCATCATCATCATCATCATCATCATCATCATCATCATCATCATCATCATCATCATCATCATCATCATCACCATCATCATCACCATCATCATCAACATCTTCATCATCATCATCAACCTCATCATCACCATCGGGACAACATCATCATCAACTTCATCATCATCATCATCATCATCATCATCATCATCATCATCATCATCATCATCATCATCATCGTCATCATCACCACTAGCATCATCATCGTCATCATCATCGCCATGGCCATTAGTTTCCAACCATCCTGTGGTGTTCGCATGGCGGCCCCGCCCCATTCTGGCGCACCCCTCACACGGTTCGTGGCCCCATAGGGAGCTCCACCGAAGGCCCCAGTGGCTGCGTTCGCATGGCGGCCCCGCCCCATTCTGGCGCACCCCTCACACGGTTCGTGGCCCCATACGGAGCCCCACCGAAGGCCCCAGTGGCAGGGTCCGCATGGCGGCCCCGCCCCATTCCGGCGCACCCCTCCCAAGGCCCACGGCCCGCACGGCGGCCCAGCCCCACCGCGGCGCACCCCTCACACGGTCCGCGGCCCCACAGGGAGCTCCACCGACGGCCCCGGCGGCAGGGTCCGCACGGCGGCCCCACGGTTCGTGGCCCCATGGGGAGCCCCACCGAAGGCCCCAGTGGCTGCGTTCGCATGGCGGCCCCGCCCCATTTTGGCGCACCCCTCACACTGTCCGTGGCCCCATCGGGAGCTCCACCGAAGGCGCCAATGGCAGGGTTCGCATGGCGGCCCCGCGCCATTTTGGCGCATGTTCGTGGCCCCATAAGGAGCTTTACCGAAGGTCCCAGTGGCAGGGTTCGCGTGGCGGCCCCGCGCCTTTTTGGCGCATCCCTGACACGGTTCGTGGCCCCACAGGGAGCACCACCGAGTGCCCCAGTGGCAGGGCCCGCATGGCGGCCCCGCGCCATCCCGGCGCACCCCCCACACGGCCCGCGGCCCCACAGGCGGCCCCACCGAAGGCCCCAGCGGCAGGTCCGCATGGCGGCCCCGCCCCACTTCGGCGCACCCCCCACACGGCCCGTGGCCCCATAGGGAGCCCCAGCGCCCCGTCCCACCCGCCCCGCGGCCCCCACGCCCGCGTATGGTCGGGTCCTCCGCCAGGATAATGTCCTCCCCCAGTTGCCCCCCTCTTTTTTCCTCGTTCCTCCTCCGTGGGCTTCCGATCCTCGTGGGCAGTGACGTGGCGGCGGGCGTTGGCTGCGGCATGTTCGAGCAATTCTTGGACGGCATCTGCGGATGTCGTCTTGGTTGTGAGGGACAGAAGCCTAGCTGGTTCCAGATCTGCAACCTCTTCGTCACTCAGAGACTCCCCCCTCTCAGACCAGGCACCTATTGTAATCGGCGTTCCCACGGGTTTCATGGTGCAGAGGGTCTCTGATCTCTGGACGTGGCTGATTCGCACGACTACATCGCGTTTGCTAAGTCCTTTTGTGCCCAGGGAGGTCTGCATTCGCGAAGCTCGAGCTGCAGCCCCGAAAAACTCCTCCCTCCCTCCCTCCCTCCCTCCTTCTTCCTCCTCCCTCCTTTCTCCCTCCTCGCTCCTCCCTCCCCTCTTTCCCCCCCGCTCCTTCCCTCCCTTCCCCTCCCCCTCCTCCTCCTCCTCCTCTTCCTCCTCCTTCTCCGCCTCCTCCTCCTCCTCCTCCGTCGTCGTTGTGGAACACTTCCGTGTGTAACCTGACCAATATGAGCCAGGTGATGTTTTCAACGTGCTGGATTCCGATGAGTCGTTGTGAGGAAACAGAACTCCGCCTCCTCCTCCTTCTCCTCCTTCTCCTCCTCCTCCTCTTCCTCCTCCTCCTCCTCCTCCTCCTCCTCCTCCTCCTCCCCTTCCTCCTGCTCCTCCTCCTCCTCCTCCTCCTCCTCCTCCTCCTCCTGCTCCTCCCTGGCGGCTGCGGCTCTGGTTGTGGCCGCGACGGCGAGATCACAGCCGTTACCCGCAGGTCCAGACCACCGGGAAGGCCACCGCTCGCGGCCTTGCGCGCTGGCATGCCCAGCCGTGCGCGAGCAGGTTGGACTAGGAGGGGATGAGGGGGGGGAAGGCGGGAGAGGACAGGGAAGAGGGGGGGGAGAGGACAGGGGAGGGGATGGGGACAGGAGGGGGAGAGGCCAGGAAGGAACGCTGGGGGGGAGGAGGGGGAGGACGAGGGGGAAGGGAGGGGAGGGGAGGAGGAGAGGATCGGGGCGTGGAGGAGTGGAGGGGGGTTGGGGGTGGGGGAGTGGAGGCGAGATGTTGGCACGCGTGTCTCCCTTCGGACTCCCGCCCTGCGACGTCGACGGCGACGGCGACGGCTTGGCTCGGGCCGACGCGACCGCCTCGGGGGGCGACGCCTTCTCTCCTCGCCGCTCTTGGCGCCCCGCCCCGCGCCACGTGCGGCCTCCCTGCGCGGGGCCCCGCGTGCCGACCTTGCGCTCTCCCCGCTCCGCCTGCTGATCCCTCCTCCGCCTCCCCTCCTCCTCCTCCCCTCCTCCACCTCCTCCTCCTCTCCTCTCCTCCTCCTCCTCCTCCTCCTCCCCGATTCCTCCTCCTCCTCCGCCTCCTCCTCCTCCTCTCCTCCTCCGCCCCCCTCCCCTCCCACCCCCACCTCACTACCTCCCCCCTTTCCTCCTCCTCCTCCTCCTCCTCCTCCTCCTCCTTCTCCTGATCACTTCCCGTCCGCCCGACCCCGTGCTCCGCGCCGGGTCCACGCTCCACCTGTGCGCCACCCTCTCCGCGGAACTCTTCCACGTCTGAGCGCTATCCCCTCCCCCTTCCCCCCCGCGCGGCCGCGCTCGTCCTGTTCCCCTCCTCCCGCCTCTTGCACTCCGGCCAATTCGCCCTTCGGTGGCCCCGACTAGCCACACGCTGGAGCGAAGTGCTTCTGCCTCGCCGCCGACGTAAAAGTGCGCCACCTTCTTCTCTCACGGTCGCTGCAGTCGGGCCTGATTAGTAAGTCGACCCTGCCAAATCAAGGGTGCCCTTGTGTCCTGTGTCTCGCGGCCCATGCCTCCGACATTTCGGTGGCAATTTGGCTCTCGAAAGGGTCTTGTGTCCTCTCGCGTGTCCTGTCCAATCAAGTCCGACTGTATCAGGTTTCTGCCACTGGGCTTGGCGTCGGCTCGTGCGGTGCTGCCGGATCGTGGCAGAGCGCCTCGCACGCGCCAGCCCGGCACGGCGAGGCAGGAGCCGGGCGCGGTGCCATGGCGGAGGTGCCAGTGGTGCCAGCACACTTCGCAGATGTATCAGCAGTTCTGCACGAACGAGATGGGTACGGAAATAATTGGTACAATGCCCAAGAGCAATTCCTGTTCATTTTGAACAGGACTCGCTGTGCGCGCCGCCGCGGCCTGTGTCCATCTGAGACAGAAGGCCGCCTGCCCAACAGCGGCCGCTGTTGGTTTGTCCAAAGCAGAGCCAGTATCCGCAAGCGTGATTTGTGCGGGACCCCAGCTGATAGCCGACAGGTGCACACCTTTGCCCCCGGGTCAGCTGACAATGCTTGGCACCGGTGCTCTGTGCAGGGTCGCCAACAGTTATTGGGCCAGCATGATGGGTTCGTCCACGCGCACTTTTGGTCCCTCTTCGGGCGCCATTCATCTGACCCTCATTTCGCCAGACTCCAGGCGTTGACCCCGCCGACGGGCAGATCTGGACCACGCACATATCAGTGCTGGAATCGGAGTGGTTCTGCCGATGTCGATGTCAGTGTCCATGGGGGATACGCGGAGGGAGCAAGAGCACGATAATCACCCCTGCTGCACCCGTCCGCGGACGACCTGTACACATGGCACCGCGTTTGTGTCTCCCGAGGCGTCGTCAGTCCTCGACCCAGGAGTGGTGCGATGCATAGTGTTTCGGCCCGCAGAGCCGAAGAACTATGCACCATATTGCGCTGGAGCGGGGCCTGAAGGGAATGTACACATGAGCGGCGCCAACAAACGGGGCCGTCTTCGCCGAAATTGGCGCGTAAGCTGCCCGCGTAAGGTCGCGCGTAAGCGCCGTCGTCTCCAACGCAGCATGCAGCGCGGGCGGCCCGCGTAAGCCGCCGCGTAAGGTCGCTGTGTCATCTCGCGTAAGACCCGTTTTTGATCGTCGCTCACATGGCACGGTGCAAGCAGCAATTTTTGGCTCAAGTTCGGGCTCCAGACAAGGCGATTTCCAATCAGCTTGGAGATAGCAAAACAGCGCCAGTTGCAGGGATGGCAGTGAATCGCGACAAGGAGGTCTACTTCGCAAAGCTTGCGGAGCAGGCGGAGCGCTACGACGAGATGGCGACTCACATGGAGGCAGTGGGGAAATCGGGGGACGAGCTTTCAGTTGAAGAACGCAATCTCCTGTCTGTGGCCTACAAGAACGCCGTGGGTTCGCGTCGCGCTGCGTGGCGTATCATCACCAGCGTGGAGCAGAAGGAGACTAGCAAGGGCAACGAGGAAAACGCAAAGTTCGCGAAGGAGTACTGTAAGAAGGTGGAGGGTGAGCTCGATGACATCTGCAAGAAGATCCTTGCCGTGTTGGACAACAGTCTCATTGGAAAGGCAACGACCGGCGAGTCTCAGGTCTTCTACCAGAAGATGAAGGCCGACTACTACCGCTACATTGCCGAGTACACCACCGGCGCTGACAAGGAAAAGGCTTCGAACGACGCCAAATTAGCCTACGAGGAGGCGCAAGCGATTGCGACCAAGGACTTGGCAGTGACGCACCCGATCCGTCTCGGTCTTGCTCTGAATTTCTCTGTGTTTCAGTACGAGGTGTTGGCGAACCCGGACGAGGCGTGCAAGATGGCGCGCACCGCCTTCGAGGACGCGATCGCCGAGCTCGACAACGTCGCAGAGGACTCCTACAAGGACTCAACCCTCATCATGCAGCTGCTCCGCGACAATCTGACGCTCTGGACCTCGGATCAGGAGGGCGAGCCCTGAGGAAGGCATTCGCCACGCGCAGCATCCGCAGGGCCGTTGGAAGAGCGAGCCGGGTCGCCAGCAGGGTTGCCCAAGGAGCAGCAGCAGGCACCGGGCGCACAATTGGCACGGCTGCCGTAAGAGCGAGCCGGCTTGCCAGCGAGGCTGCCCCAGGGAAGCACCCCCGGGCGCGGCCCATCGATCTTGGCTGTCGGAAGCAAGCAGCAAGAAAAAAATGCATGGCACGGTGCATGCGCGCCGGTCTCGTAAGCCTGCTGCGTGCTCGTGCCCATGCGCCGTTCCACTCCGTAGCCGTTTGGCTGGAGGAGGCGGCGCGCGAAGGGGGGGCGGGCCCCGCAGAGGGGCGCAGAGCGCGCTATGGCCGTGGGGGCGCCAGCGGCCTCCCCGTTCGGCCTCGCCACCGCGGACTTCGTGGAGCCCTGCACGCGGGCGGTCATGTTCTCGCTGGCGAACTTCCTGTACGACCAGGCCGTGTTCTTCGCGGAGCGGCTGGTGGCCCACCTGCCCGACAGCGATGAGGCGCTGCGCATGCTTGCGGCCGCGCACCTGCACAGCGGCGACGCGGCTCGCGTTCGCGTGCTGCTCCAAGGCGGTGCAGCGCGCACGCCTCAGCTGCGGTACCTGCTGGCGCTGAGCTGCATGCAGCTGGGCAAGCCGGAGGAGGCCGAGGCTGCGCTGCTCGGGCGGACCGGAGGCATCATCGGCTGGAGCGACGGTGTCGCTGGCTGCGGCCCAGGCCTCTATCTGCTGGGCCAGGCCAGAGAGCGCCTTGGGCGGCCAGAGGATGCAGCGGAGTGCTACGCCAAGTGCCTGGACGTGTGCCCCTTCATGTGGTGTGCGTACGAGCGCCTCAGCTGGCTCGGCACGGGCACCGCCTCTGCCGCCGAGGGGTCCTCCTCCACCTCTTGGGCTGCGCCGGCGTCGCACGGCACATACTTCCAGGAGGACGACCTCAGGCAGGACCCCGTGCTGCACCCCTGTCCACAGGTGGGCGAGGCAGGGAAACGGGGTCGACTGCGCCGACATGCGCGCGCAAGCCGCCCGCGTCAGATCGCGCGTGAGCGCCGCCGTCTCCACTGTGGCGTGCCGCGTCGGCGGCCCGCGGAAGTCACCGCTCGCTCTGCCACCTCGCGCAAGGCCCGTTTTTCTTTCTCGCCGCGCAGGTGGCCGGCAGCCCGCGAGGCCTCGGGGGTGGCGGCCTGTGCAGCGGGGCCGTGGCCTCGCCGCCGAGGAAGCGGCGCCGGAGCAGCGGCGGCTGCCCGCTGCGCGCCTCGCCCGGGCTGGGCGACCGCGGCACGCCGCCGGCGCTGCCGCGGACGCCCCGCGCGGCGCGCGCGCCCAGGTCGCCAGACCGAGCTCCGCTGAGCGACCGCGTGTCCGCGGCCCTGAGCCCGCCGCCCCCGGCGGGGCAGCCAGCGGGGGCCCCTCGGGGGAGGAAGAGGTGCCGATGCCGCTGCCCTCGCCTCGTCTTCGCGTGGGCCTCCCGGGAGGCCCCTCGTCGCCGCCGCCGGGGCCGCCGCGGAGTTCTGGTCGGAGCGCACCACCCTGGGAGAGGTCCAGGGAGTGGCGGCATCGGTGCCCAGAGATGCGACGTCTAGATTTTCTCCATGCGACGGGCCCCCCCGGGAGGCTCGACCCTTTCCCCAGGGTTGGCTCTTCGTCCCGCGTCGTTCCTTCACGGGCCCGAGGCCCAGCGCAGGCCTCCGGAGGCCGAACACGGCCCAAAACCTCCGCCTCGTGTTGTCAGCGCGCTCGACCTCTGGGCACCTCTCGACCTCCCCAGGCCCGGTCGCCGGCGCCGCGCTCGCCCCCGCCCTCGGCGCTGCGCACGCCCGCGCGGCTGCTGTCGGGCCTGACGCCGCGGCGGCTGCTCGGCCGCGGCCCGCGCTGGCGGTCCCCGCCCGGGCGGCCCCCGGCCGCGCTGTCGCCGGAGGCCTCGGTCGGCGCAGCGTCGCCCGATGCCGGGCGCCCAGAGCTCCAACGCGGCGCCGAGCCGCACGAGCCCCGCGAGGCTCGGGGGCCTCAGAATTATGGGGCCCATGTATGTATGCATGCATGCATGCATGCATGCATGTATGTATGCATGCATGCATGCATGTATGTATATATGCATGTATGTATGTATTTCTGTATGCATGTATGTATGTATTTCTGTATGCATGCATCTAGGTAGGTAGGTAGGTAGGTAGGTAGGTAGGTAGGTAGGTAGGTAGGTAGACATGTATACATGTATATATATACACATACATGTGTATATCTATTTATATAACCACCGCCTCCCACACCCCTCTCCCTATCCCCGGGGAGAACAGGGGAAGAAGAGGCTGGAGGAGGGGAGGCGGGATGACGGTGGTGGTGGTGGTGGTGGTGTATGCTCTTGGCACCCGCAAGAATGGTGTGGTGACCACGTCGCGTGCTGAATCGGCGCTGGTATTTCCCTGGTCGCAAACTGGCCCAATCTGGCTGAGTCCCGTTTAATCCGATTTAATATCACTGAATCAGGTTTAATCCTATTTTACCTGGCTAGATCCCAGGCTCAATCCAACCTGATCCAGGTCAGTGGCCCCTTAATCGGGCTTCACAGCCCTTGATCGTTCTGGGGAAGACCTCCCAGCAGTAGCCTCGCAACGCGTGGTGAGTCAGTGGGGATCCAGGGTCCCCTCGCGGTTCTGGGACTTGGACGGTCCTCCGAGGACGCCTCGGGCGGCTGGGGCCTCCGAGGTCCCGAGGCCGTGCTCGGCATCACCCAAGCATACTGATACTATGTGGGCGTCTGCACCCCAGGGGCGACGCGCGCGCTTAGACATCTTATATGGTATCCAGGAGGAGAAAAAAACACGCAGACACACTTAATCGTCGATCCTCCCCAGGAAATATGGGGAAATATGGGAGGGGGGGGGGAAGACAGACACCCAGAAAATACGGGAACATATGGGGAATCCTTTTATTTGTGTGTAGTTATTTGTGTGTCCTATGACCCCTTCATATATGCTCGGTGGCGGGCGTACCGCGCGGGAAGCGATATACCAAAGGATGGATGTACCATATGCTCGGGTCGGACGCACGCCTCCAAGGTGGCCACACAGTACTGGCATGTCCTTGTGCGTCACACGTGTGGTGACGGACGGCGCGGTGCGGAGTGTGCGGAGTGTGCGGAGGGTGCGGAGGAGGAGGAGGAGGAGGAGGAGGAGGAGGAGGAGGAGGAGGAGGCGGAGGAGGAGGCGGAGGAGGAGGCGGAGGAGGAGGGGGAGGAGTGCCGTCGTCGTCGTCGTCGTCGTCGTCGTCGTCGTCGTCGTCGTCGTCGTCGTCGTCGTCGTCCGCTTCGGTCGTCGGTGGGTCGTCGTCCGGGCGCGCCCCGCGAGAGGCGGCGGCCCCCGCGCCGCGCCCCGCCGCGACGCTGGGGGCGCTGCTGCGGGCCCTGGGGGCGGTGCTGCGCGCGCAGCGCAGGTTCCGCGCAGCAGCAGCTCATGGTCGGCGGCGAGCGAGGGGGGGAAGTGAGAATGAGAAGGCCTTCTCAGAAGGCGGCGGGACTTCTCAGAAGCCCTCGCGCCTTCTGAGAAGTTTTTTGGTGTCTTCGGGGAAGGCTCAGAACACTTCTCAAGAGGCTGGGGAACTTCCGAGCCTTCCGAGAAGCCCCGCCCCTTCTCACTTCCCCCCCTCGCTCGCCGCCAACATGGGAGCCTCCCGTGATGCGACTGCGTCTCCTGCTTCTCCCCCTGTGTGGAAGTCGATTAACGAAGAGGAAGCATGCCGCCACATATTTTCCAGATGTCTACACAACGTTTCAAGCATGGTTTAAATATTGGCAGCACATGTTTGAAACATGTTCAGAGCATGCCTTTCACATTTTGAACACACCTTTAATTCAATGGCAGGATTGTTAGAGTGTCCATTGTCATGACATCCACAACCCTATCGATCCCTTCCTCAGACTGGGCATGTGTTTCTACCCGAGGGCCTCGGCACGAATGATGAGCCTCCCACGATGCTCACGGGAGCCTCTCCCTGCCCTCATGATGAGCCTCCCCGTGCCCAGGGGAGCCGGGAGCCTCCCGATGAGCCTCCCGTGATGCTCCTGGGAGCCTCTCTCTGCCCTATCGATCCCTTCCTCAGTCCGGGCCTCCATTTTCTGCCCGAGGGCCTCGGCACGAAGACTCTTCCACGGACGTCTGGCCACCCGTGAGAGCTTCCCTCGCCTGCGAGGCGGGGTGGCGCTGCGCGCGAGCCGCAGGTTTGTTCAGCAGCAGCTCGTGGGAGCCTCCCAAGCCATCTTGCTGGCTCTCACGAGTCAAGCCATTCGACGATGGTCCCTGAGATCCTGGTGTCGCGATTTCTTCCCCACGGGCGTTTCTGCTTCATCTTTGGCCCCGGGGACCCTCACAGATGTATCCAGCTCGAAAAGAGGACGCAGAAAGACCAGGGTCTAGGGCTCCAGGCGTGATTTGTTGCGATGCCGCATTTTTTTCGCTGCGTCGGATCTCAGGGGTCGACGCTAATATAGAGTCGGACCGAAGTGTTATAAGATCGAGGTCGGTTTGGGGAGGGTACCCTAGTGCCCTTCGTTTTTTACCTAACAGCGAAGACTGATAGGTTTCTAGTGGTGTCAAACGAGAGCATCTTGACTCCCCAGGGGATTCTGGGCGGGTGCCAGGGAGAATCCGCGGAAGTCGTTTTCAGCAAACAGTTACACACTTCGTGGTCTTCGAGGTCCCAGAACTCCATTCCCGGGCCACATTCTGAATGCCCGGAGCCAACTGTAGGCCACTTCGTGCTCTTCGAGTTCCCAGAACTCCATTCCTGGGCCACATTTTGAATGCCCGGAGCCAACTGTAGGCCACTTCGTGCTCTTCGAGTTCCCAGAACTCCATTCCCGGGCCACATTTTGATGCCCGGAGCCAACTGTAGGCCACTTCGTGCTCTTCGAGTTCCCAGAACTCCATTCCCGGGCCACATTTTGAATGCCCGGAGCCAACTGTAGGCCACTTCGTGTTCTTCGAGTTCCCAGAACTCCATTCCTGGGCCACATTTTGAATGCTGAGGCAGGCTGATGCTGCGGCCGAGGCAGGCTGAGGCTGAGGCAGGCTGAGGCTGAGGCCGAGGCTGAAGGCAGACTGAGGCTGAGGCTGAAGCAGACTGAGGCTGAGGCTGAGGCAGGCTGAGGCTGAGGCTGAGGCAGGCTGTTGCTGAGGCAGGCTGAGGCTGAGGCTGAGGCTGAGGCAGGCTGAGGCTGAGGCAGGCTGAGGCTGAGGCCGAGGCTGAGGCTGAGGCTGAGGCTGAAGCAGGCTGAGGCTGAGGCTGAGGCAGGCTGAGGCTTAGGCTGAGGCAGGCTGATGCTGAGGCAGGCTGAGGCTGAGGCTGAGGCTGATGCAGGCTGAGGCTGAGGCAGCCTGAGGCTGAGGCGAGGCTGAAGGCAGACTGAGGCTGAGGCTGAAGGCAGGCTGAGGCTGAGGCTGAGGCAGGCTGAGGCTGAGGCTGAAGGCAGGCTGATGCTGAGGCAGGCTGAGGCTGAGGCTGAGGCTGATGCAGGCTGAGGCTGAGGCAGGCTGAGGCTGAGGCCGAGGCTGAAGGCAGACTGAGGCTGAGGCTGAAGCAGGCTGAGGCTGAGGCAGAGGCAGGCTGAGGCTGAGGCAGGCTGATGCTGAGGCAGGCTGAGGCTGAGGCTGAGGCTGATGCAGGCTGAGGCTGAGGCAGGCTGAGGCTGAGGCCGAGGCTGAAGGCAGACTGAGGCTGAGGCTGAAGCAGGCTGAGGCTGAGGCTGAGGCAGGCTGAGGCTGAGGCTGAGGCAGGCTGATTCTGAGGCAGGCTGAGGCTGAGGCTGAGGCTCATGCAGGCTGAGGCTGAGGCAGGCTGATGTTGAGGCCGAGGCTGAAGGCAGACTGATGCTGAGGCTGAAGCAGGCTGAGGCTGAGGCTCAGGCAGGCTGAGGCTGAGGCTGAGGCAGGCTGATGCTGAGGCAGGCTGAGGCTGAGGCTGAGGCTGATGCAGGCTGAGGCTGCGGCAGGCTGAGGCTGAGGGCGAGGCTGAAGGCAGACTGAGGCTGAGGCTGAAGCAGGCTGAGGCTGAGGCTGAGGCAGGCTGAGGCTGAGGCTGAGGCAGGCTGAGGCTGAGGCTGAGGCTGATGCAGGCTGAGGCAGAAGCAGGCCGAGGCTGAGGCCGAGGCTGAAGGCAGACTGAGGCTGAGGCTGAAGCAGACTGAGGCTGAGCAGGCAGGCTGAGGCTGAGGCTGAGGCAGGCTGATGCTGAGCAGGCTGAGGCTGAGGCTGAGGCTGATGCAGGCTGAGGCTGAGGCAGGCTGAGGCTGAGGCCGAGGCAGACGGCAGACTGAGGCTGAGGCTGAAGCAGGCTGAGGCTGAGGCAGAGGCAGGCTGAGGCTGAGGCTGAGGCAGGCTGATGCTGAGGCAGGCTGAGGCTGAGGCTGAGGCTGATGCAGGCTGAGGCTGAGGCAGGCTGAGGCTGAGGGAGGCTGAAGGCAGACTGAGGCTGAGGCTGAAGCAGGCTGAGGCTGAGGCTGAGGCAGGCTGAGGCTGAGGCAGGCTGAGGCTGAGGCTGAGGCAGGCTGAGGCTGAGGCTGTGACTGCGACTGCCGTTGCCACTGCGACTGTCATCGCGAATGCGACTACGACTGCGAGAACAGCAGAATTCTACAACTGGATTCTCATCTGAATCTTAAGGGGAATGCTTCCAGATATGCTCCTACACATCGCTGTTAGGTTGCTTTGCCGGGATAATTTTTGCATGTCCTGGTGCATCCTGGGGAGGATGCCCTTTGATGTTCTGTGCGTCTGGGTCGGCGGAGGGCCCCATGTTCTCGGAGGATGTTTTTCTGTCCTAGGTCCGACTGTGCCATCGTGCTGGCTCTTACGAATCGACGCCGATCGACGCCAACCGACGCCAATCGACGCTGCATGGACGCCAAATCTACGCTAAGTCGGCGCTCGCTCCTCGGCCACCGCACGCCGGCGCACGCTGACGCATTCCAAAGACGGAGCTACGAGAGGGCCTTGGGGCGGTGCTGCTCGCGCAGCGCAGGTTTGTTCAGCAGCAACCCATGGGACCCCGGTGTGCCCTCGTAGTTCCGTCGTTAGATGAGTTGCGCGTAAGAGTGACCCTTCCCCAGAGTGACCTTTGGTGCGGGCCCGCTTGGGTCCCCCGATCCCCGAACGCGATGCGATAGTAGCGTCTTGCGCGCTTGCGTTTGGCCCCCCCGCGGCCTCCCCAACGACGCGCCCCAAAGGTCACTCTTGCCCAGGGCCACTCCTGCGTGCAGCCGCTTACAGAGTGCATTCGCGTGCGCCAGCGTGTGGTGGCCGAGGAGAGAGCGCCGACCTAGCGCAGATTTAGCGTCGATGTGGTGTCGATTTGCAACATCGCAGAAGATCACGCTCGGAGCCCCGGAGCCCGCCTTTTTGCGCCCTTTTTTTCGAGCTGGATCGATCTGTGAGGGTCCCCAGGGCCGAAGACGAAGCAGAAACGCCCGTGGGGAAGAAGTCGCACCGCCAGGATCTCAGGGACCAGCGCCGATTGGCGTCGGCTCGTAAGCGCCAGCAGGATGAATTTTGGGAGCCTCCCGTGGAGCTGCCGCCCGAAGGTTTGCGCGGCGGGAGGCGCTGCTGGAGGCCCTCGCCGCGCTGCCGCCCCAGGAGCGCAGCGCCGCGCTGGCCCAGGAGCTGGCGGCGCGGGGCCGCTTCGAGGCGGGGGAGTACGCGGAGGCCGCGAGGCTCTACGCGGAGTGCCTGCGGGCGCACAATGGCTCGAAGAAGGGAAGCCCGGCGAGAGCGCACAGACCTTCGGAGCTCCCCGCGCACTCCTGGGAGATCGGCGCGCCGGGCCCCGCGCCCCTCTGGGCTCCGCGCGCCAGTGGATCAGGAGGGAACAAAAACACAGAGACACAATTGATCGTCGACCCCCCAGAAAATAGGGGGAAACATGGGCAGTGGGGGGGGGGGGGGGAAGACAAACACCGAGAAAATAGATATAGGAAGATATGGGGGATCCTTTTATTTGTGTGTTTATTTGTGTGTCCCAGGGCCCCTTCAGTGGAGGGGGGCCCGGCGCCGACCCGAGCCGCCCGCGCGCGGCTCCGAGAGCCTGTGGGGCTCCGCCGCGGCTCCTTCCTTCGGCGAGCTGCACCGGTCCGTGGGCCTCGACCGCTACTCCACGGCCCTGTGGCACCTCCGCAGCGGGGCCGAGCTGGGCCGCCTGGCCCAGCGGGCCCTGGACTTCCACCACCCACCAAGCCACCCCAACCCAACCCGAAGGCCTCAATTGGCCCTCCATGTCCAGTGGGGGGGGGGGTCCGCGAACATCGACAAAAAACACATGTGGAGCCCATAGCCTCCCCCAACCCGAACTGCGGGTCTTCGGGTCGGGTTGGGGTGGTCTGGTAGGTAGTCAGGACTGGGACAGGCTGCGCCCGCAGGCCTGGTGCGTCGCCGGGAACTGCTTCAGCCTGCAGGGGGAGCACGACCGGGCGATCCGGTGTTTCCGGCGGGCCATCCAGGTCGACCCTCTCTTCACGTACGCCTACACGCTGCTGGCGCACGAGTACACGGCAACGGAGAAGTTCGACAAGGCCGTCGAGCTGTACGAGCGCGCTCTCGGGGTGGACCGCAGGCACTACAATGCCTGGTGGGGCCTGGGGAACGTGTACCTCCACCAGGAGGAGTACGGCAAGGCGCGGTACCAATTCCGCGGGCTTTTCTCAGTCCGACATGCCGCGAGAGATTTTTTTTGGGGGGGGCACGGGGTACGACCTGTCCGCTTTTGCCCTCGCTTGCATTTGCATGACTATGTCAAGCATCGCTTCACGCTTCTCATTTTGTGGCCGCAGCCGTCTGGGGGCGAAACGCGACCTCTGTGAAAAATCTCCGAAGCCTGAAGCGCAGTGATCCTCGTTCAAAATCGCGCGGCAAGGCTCGAAAAACAACAACCTCCATAGACATAAACTTTCGGACCTCCTCGCCTGTTTCTTGGATCGTCGCGGGCCCCCGGGCGGCGCCTCTGGTGCCGCCTCTGGCACGTTCCGCGCGCCAGGGAGGGGGGGGCCCAGCGGCGATCCAAGGCAGCCGCGTGGATCTCCGAACGTTGATGTTTATGGCAGTTCTGGTGCCTTGGAAGGCGCGGTACCTTTGCCAGATATCGGCGGCGAAATCCGAACTCGAACCTTGCCCTCGCCGATCAACGACTCGGGCAACTCGATGCACGGCGGGCGTAGGTAGGGTTCGGCAACGCCGTCCGTGGCCCAGAATCGGCCCATCGTTGAACGATCCGGCGTTTCTGAAACGGCCGATCGTTCAAGTCTGAACCAGTCCCGCGCTGTCAGGAACCAACGCCGGGGTCGACACGACGCGAACCTACCGTATGCTGATCTCGACTACACGGAAGAGGCTGACTTTTCCCCAGAGTGACCGTTGGTGCGCGCCTAGTGGGGCCCTCTGATCGCCGAACGCGATGCGATGGTAGTGTCTTGCGCGCTTGTGTTTGGTCCCCCCGCGGCCCCCCAAGAAGCCGCGCACCAAAGGTCACTCTGGCCCAGGGCCACTCTTGCGTGTAGCCGACGTGCTTCGTTTCTCGAACCCTGAGATCCGACGCAGCCCCCAAAAATGCAACATCGTAAAACATCACGCCCAGAGCCCTAGACCCCTTTCTGCGCCATTTTTCGAGCTGGATCGTTCTGTGAGGGTCCCAGGGCCCGAAAAAGGCGAAGACGCCAGGGCCTCCTGGACAGGCGCGGTACCACTTCCAGAGGGCCGTCGACATCAACGGCAGCAACGCCGTGCTGCTGACCTCCCTCGGCATGGCGTGCCGCTCGATTCGGCGGCGAGCGAGGGGGGGAAGTGAGAAGAAGGAGGCCTTCTCAGAAGGCCCGGGAGTCCCCCGGCCTTCTGAGAAGTCTTCTGAGCCTTCCCCGAAGACAGAAAAGACTCCTCAGAAGGCGCGAGGGCTTCTGAGAAGTCATATGGCGCCTTCTGAGAAGGCCTTCTCCTTCTCATTTTCCCCCCCTGGGGGCGCCGCCGACTGTCGATCAGAATCGGTCCCGGGACCCCTCCCGGGGCCATCCGACGCGGCTTTCCGCCCCAGACCGAGCTCCGGGGCTCCCCGGGGCCCGAGAACGGCCCCGGAGGCCGACAGCGACGACGGGCCGCCCCGAAGCCCGCCCCGAACCTGAGAAGTGCCGGCGCCTGCTGTCGGGAGCGGAAAAGAGGGGGGTCGGAGGGCACCAACTATACACCAACACCGATCCTGGCCCAGGACCACCCTGGGCCCAGGATCGGTGTATATGCCTTCTTAAGCAAGGCAGGAGGGCGTATACACCGATCCTGGGCCCAGGGTGATCCTGGCCAGGATCGGTGTTGGTGTATAGTTGGTGCCTTCCTAGGGGGGGGTGACCAGCGGGGGGTGGATATCCTGGCGCGGGCCATGATGTTTCCCCAGCTTCCGTGGCGCCTCTTCTTGTTTCACTGCGCCCCTGACGCCCCCCCCGCTGGGCCGCGCACATGCCGCCGGTCCTGATTTGCACCCCCCCCTCTTGGATCAGAGCGTGAATTACCTACCCCGCTTTCGCTTCCAGGCAAAACCAAGTCATACCACGCGCCTCCTCGTCAAGCGGCCTGACCAGTACAGGCCGTAGTTTGGCCTCGTTTGGTATCTCTTGGAAGCGAGGGTGGGCAAAAGCGAGGTAGGTTTGTTTTCCCCCTATTGGACACCCCCCTCTTGGCCGCTCCCGATGCTGAGAAGGCCGTCTCCTTCTCGCCTCCCCCCCTCGCTCGCCGCCGATCGATGGGGGAGCCGGGGCGCGCTCTCGAGCTCTTCGCCGCGGCCGCGGGGGGCCCAGGCGGGGCGGCGCTGGCGGCCTTCGAGAAGGGGCGCGCCCTGGCCGCCCTGGGGCGCCACGAGGAGGCCCTGGAGGAGCGCTCGTCGTCGTCGTCGTCGTCGTCGTCGTCGTCGTCGTCGTCGTCGTCGTCGTCGTCGTCGTCGTCGTCACCATCAGCATCATCATGATCATCGTCATCATCATCAACATCATCATCATGATGGTGAGCATCATCATTGTCATCATCATGTCCATCATAATCCTGATCATCATCATCACCACCATCACCATCATCACCATCATAATCATGATGATGATCATCATCATCATCATCATCATCATCATCATCATCATCATCATCATCATCATCACCATCACCATAATCATCATCGTCGTCATCATGGAGAGAGCGTGATCCACCGCCGCTTTACTGTGGAAAATTACCAACCTTTTCCTTCGGAACCCGGGGGTCTCCCCC